GGTCCTCCTCCCCACGGCGACGGATCCAACGCCGTGGTCCAACGGGTCCATCAATCCGCCCGTAGTTAATCCGTGAACCCTGTCGACCCCCCCTTGCATACGTAGTCTTTTGGTTCATCCGTCCGTTTATTCACTCGTCTGTTTGCAGATCCATACATGCACAGCTGCATATACATTTGCAACTGATCCATCGATCGCAGCCATCTATCAATCCTGCCATCCATCCGCTATTCATCCATTTATTTAACGATACCGTAACAGAAAATCTGGTTTATGTTAAATCCTAGGAATGCGTTTATAACTTTTCCTGATAAGTCTGATAAACTTGTGATTGAGAGGTCAAATCCACAACTGACTCCCACCCCCCCCCCACACACACACACACACACACAGACCCACGCAAATGCCTTCCAAATGTGTGTCTCCATTCATGTGAGCACTGCAGGCTGAGGTCTTGTGACTGTCTCCGCTCGAGAAACACTTGTTTTCTTATTCTTTTTTAGTTTTTATTTACTTGTTTTCTCCTCAGTGAGTCTTTCTGGATAAACGCACCCTTTGAAACGGACGCTCGGCCACTGCGATTGTCTCTTTGTGTGTCCCCCCCCCCTCCTTGGACTTGCAGCTGAGTGGACATGAAGCCTACTATAAGTGACAGAAAGTTAGCTGGCTGTGTGTGTGTGTGTGGGTGTGTGTTGTGTGTCTGAGGGGAGGACTGTGCCAGCGCTGGCTCATGTGGGAGGAAATAGTTCAGCCAAGTCCTGAAAATAATGTCCCAAATTATCCCGTCCACCGACGCATGTTCCTCGCCGATGCCTCCGCTCCACCGCTCTCCGCGGGGATTCCATTCATCGGCCCGCGCTATTTCAGACGTGGACGTGAGACAAGACGCGTCCTGGTGGCCCTCCAGATTGGCTACGGAGGCAGAGAGACGACGGATCTCAGGGTGTCTGAACAAAAAAAAAAAAAAAGTGTTGCCGCTTCTCGACAAAACCCAACGTCTGTTCGCCGAGCGCAGATTGTGTCACTTGAGTGGAAGTGAAAGGTTGTGGTTTGGAATTATGTTTTTTTTTTTTTTTACAGAAGCTCCTGAAATCCATTCAAGCTCAGAGTCCGTCTTGAAAGTCCTGGAGTCAATACCTTTGTGTTATTTCTCTCATGGCGTCAAGCTACATTGTTGTGGGTTTTTCTTCCTTAAATTGTCTCGTCGTTTCTACTTTTGGTAGAAATCTCCTCCCCCGTGAATCCCACCACACAAGACATTTCCCTTGCTGACGTGAGTATTTTTAAAACGTTGTAACAGGGGATCATAATTACAAACCCTGTGTCATGAGGGTGCGCATGCGAGATGTTTAGTCACACAGATGCCGGGTGTGCAGCCGGCGTTTGCACGGCGGTGCCGCGGCTTCTTTGTTTGGCTGCCAGCATGTTTCCCAGCACGGCAAGCGCGTTGGTTGCACTTTGGTCCAGTAATTTCATTACGGGACTGGGAGGAATGGGCAAGCGGCGACAGGCCGGGGGAGGGGAGGGGCGGGGTGTCATCCCATGATCCCAATAATAAATCCAATAAGGGGTGTATTTGACTGAAAACTGTGGGACGGTAGAGTGTTATTGGAACTGTCCTTTAACCCAAAGGCCATTGGCTTGATTTCCCTGCAGACGCGGAAATCCAAAAGGCTCATATGAGTGAGAGGATACGAGCTGAGCTAAATAGAAAACGCTCATCAGATAGTATTTTATCTATAAAAGAAACCATAAGGGAATTTCTTTAATGCCAGATTCTACAAAGGTTATGATCACTGGTTTCAGGGTCCAAATTGGTGTAGATTAACAGGTAATAATACTTGTTTTTGCTGACCCTGAAGTGGCGTCTTGCCACAATGACATCAAGTAGATAATATAAAACAGGGAAGGAAACCCTCCCATTTCAGAGAATGTTTGGAAACGTCGGCTTTAAGTAAACCTTTAAGTGAAGATAAAGTCCAGCAGATGGACAAACCGGCTAACTGGCGAGTCGTCCAGTCCGGATTCGATTCTTGAGGGACGCATTTCATTTACAATTACTCCCTCTCTGCAGAGAAATCAGAGGTCAAGGGTCGGACCGCAGGTCAAGGGTTCGGCTCTGCGACTGGGAGGTCTTGCTCGTGGGCACTTCAGCGTAGCAGATGTCGGTTGTCCGACGTCCCCCCGGTCCGCCAGTGGAGGTAATGAGCACTTTGAGGCTTCGAGTGGTAGAACATTACATTCTGTTTCCAATCGCAGGCTGGAACTGGTCTGTGACAGACCGGAGGGCCGCGTTGCGCCTTTTGGCATCAAAGAGTGAAACCAAACTCTTGAATATCATCTCAGGAAATCTTTAAGTGGGGCTGCGGTCCCGCCAAAGGCTCAAGGCCCCCCCCCCCCTCGGTGGGCATATTTCGAACATTTGACTCGCTCCCAAAAACAACACTGCTGCTGCCAAGTCAGAGAGCTCAGAGCTGCACATCGTCCTCGTCCAACATAAACTCACACAACAAATAACGAATCCAACCGAGCACAAGCGAGGCCCCCGAAGAAATCCGCCAAATGACACGACAAGGGTCACAGGTTTGAATCCATTATCTGTCAGTGTGGAAATTCCTCCCTTGATTGCACGCTTAGATTAGAAAAAGATTCGTTTTGACGTCTAATGGCGTGAAAACCTTCGTCTGGTTTTGTCGGCTACGAGAAGCTCGTCGTCTCTCATCCTGAATCAGGACGTACCACTAAACTGACTTCACAACAGCATCATTCCTTCACATTTAAGAGTCATTCACAGGAAATAACATTCCATTGGTGGCTGGCTAAACTTTTACCACCAAGACATTTCTTTAAGCGCTTCATCATGACGGCAAACTCCCCTGGGTTTCCCCCCGCAGAACGAGGTCGTCGCAGGAGGTGGTTTTTCCCTGCAGAAAGCTTTCCTCAGACTTTGCTTACAACACACGAGGAGGGTCCGTTATCCCCTGAAAGACACAATATCCACTATCGGCCCAGAGTGGCTCCGACGCCCCGGTGCTTTATTAGTCCCCCGGCGGTGCAACATGATCCAATAGTATTGGAGGACCCCATCTGTGAGGCGGCGCTGGACAGCCGGCCCATGATTTACACAGGAGCCGTTTATGGAGCTTTTAAAAAAGACAGAGGAGCCGACATAAAAAAACGGCTTATTTATGGACGGGAGCAACACATTGAGCTGTTGTGTGGTTGCACACAATCGAGTGTGTGTCTCTGGGTCGCAGAGACGGGAGTTTGTGTGTGTGCATGGGAGCTTGTTTACAGGTTTAGTGGAGTAACGAGGAAAACACCATCAGGCGCGTGTGTGTGTGTGTGTGTGTGTGTGTGTGTGTGTGTGTGTGTGTGAACGGGTGAGGCAGGTTTCACTGCCTCATAAGAGCGTTTGTTACCCAAAAACGACTTGTCGCTTTTGGCCGATAAGATTCGCCAGACAGCTGTTTTCTTCATTGAAATCCAAAGCCCGTCCTCGGCTGTGACTTTTCTCCTGTTGTTGGTTATTTGGAGATCAGTGGCCATCGCCCCCCCCCCTCTCGGCTACTTCAAATGTATTTATTAATTTAATAAAATTAAACGTTTTTTTATTATTAGTAATGTTCAGTAGGTTTTTTTCACTAAAACGGGAAAATTACCCACTGAATAAATAAACAGGCATGCACATATTAAATTACGTTTATGAATAATATAGGCTATTCATATCATGATGATGCAACAATATTTGTAAATAAACAGCCCGTCTTTGACGTCCAGATGACGTCCACAAAAATGACCCGCTTCGAAGGTCAAATTTTGAACGTAAATATGACGTCCAAGTTGGGTCATGGTTGGACGTCCAAATAGAGGACCTAGTATGGACGTCGAATAGATGTCCGGAATTGGTCACGGACCGACGGACCCAATATAGACACGATCTGCACGTCTATCCGACGTCCAATGTTAAGTGGGTAATCAGTGTTTGTCTGTAAGAAAACAGACCGAAATGTTCCTTAAACGTGTCTGGCACTCACAGTGATGTCATCTAATCACTTATTCTGTTAAATTAAACTATGATAAAAGAAAAAAAGTCTTCATATTTGACGATTCAAGCCCAAAATTATGATAAATCAATCACCAAAGTTGTCGCTCATCAACAACCTGGCGATCCCTCAATCAGGGACTGTAGATGGTACATTTGTGCCCCCAACAGAGTGCAGATCAGCAACGGTTGTGTCTGCAGCAACCGCTGCTCTGATGTTTGATTTAATTAGTTGAGCACCAAAATTGGAAAGCTTTCTGTCTAGACTGCAGGAGAGCGAGGCGTGTTCTTCCCCCACACGCTCGTTTTAACAAGAGCGGCCAGCGAGCAGCAGTCCATCGGCAGCCGCGTCCAACGAAAGGTGGTCGCGAAGAAGTGTGAATCGTTCAGCCGCGAAGGACGACGCGCGCGCGTTGATGCAGCAGCATGTGACACACGCTGGTTTGTCTCATTGTCTTCTGGCAGAGACGACGGTAATGACATTAATAGCAAAAAGGTGGGTGGACAAGCAAAGCGGCGAGAAGACAAAGCTGACAAGACGATCGCCTGTCGTTTTTGGCGCCCCCGCAAAAAACCTCCTCAGGGTCCTCACAAAGACAGCGACGGCAGCCGTTCGACCCTCCGGGTTCCTTCCTGCAAACAGAAGAGCCCGACGCGCTGTGCTCCTCCTCCCAAACACAAACAGGTCACTTCTGCCGCCGAGTGAAAGGTAAACACTATCTTCTCCCTGCGAGCATCTCAAGCCGGGACGGCGAGGAGCAAACAGGGAAAGGCCAAACCCCACCAAGCCCCACTGAGGTCACTCCCAGGAGCCCCAAGGAGCACAGCCAGGACTCCTTCACCGACAGGGGGCAGAGTTCCACGCTGTATCCGGGCAGGGTTGAGGAGCAGCGGGAGAAGCAGAACAGAGGGTGGAGAAGGGTGGAGAAGAGGGGGGGCGGGGGTGAACTCTTACTTGCAGTCTCTGTCCTCCAGATCAAAATGCGGATTGAAGTTGATGAGGATCTTCTGACCAGGCTCGGGGGCCGTTATGACCCACACGCACTGCTGGGAGGGCGGGTAGGCGCCCGGGTAGCCCGGGGACGTCAGGTAGTCCGCGGCGTGTATCTCGATGTTCCCCCCGCATTGACCTGGAGAGGCACAGAAAGTTAGCGGAGTCGTTAGCGGAGACAGACGCGGACGTCGCGGGACAGACAGACAGCGCGTTTTATCGCGCGGGATCGAACTGCACCAGCGAGGGGAGTGACGCTGCCGAGACCTCCAGATGGGGGTCTCCGTAAATCCACACATCCACCACCCACAGCAGAAACCGCGTCGACGGGAAAGCTCTGGTTTCTGCGCCTTCGCGCGTTAAGACTATAAATCCAATCCCGGTGGATTCCATCAGCTTTAATGAGGTGATCAAACTCTCGGATTGCGCTGCTCTTTAGAAAAGGGCGGGGTATGTGAAGTGAGGTATGCGGGGTATAACGTGAGGTATGCGCCCGCCGTAAGGTGCGACCGCGCACCAGAAAGGTGGAGCGAGCCGCCTGCTGCTCCACCAGCACACGGCCCGCGTGATTACCTTTAATTTTCCCCATTGAATGATTTATGAAATTTGCTTGTAGCCCCAAATCAAGCTTCAGTGGCACGCGCGCGCAAAAGCGCCAAAATGCGCCATAATGTCGTTATAATAATATAATAATAATAGTGTGATAATACACTGCTACTACTTTATGCTTATTTCCCCGAACGTAATCCTTATTTACATATATTAGAGTAAACAGTGTTGAATCCCTGCAGGCTCCCTGCTCCCGGGGGAGGGGGGGGATGCATAACAGGTGAGAGGCAACAATGGTGCAAAAATGATGCAAAAGTGGATCAATGCTCAGCGCGCAGCCTGCCTGTTGTCAAGCCACCGCACGCGCGCAGCAACCTACCGGTCTGAGCCAACGGAGCCACCAGGGTGACTCGGGAGAGGAGGAACAACAGCAACCCGCTCCGCATCCTCACATTGTCCAACGCGCACATTGTGTAAAACAAGAGAAAGACCAAAGCAAAAAAAAAAAAAAAAAAAAACTCCTGTGTGTGTGAGGGGGGGTTACGTCCAGAAAGAGAAAAGACAATAGTCTCAAAGTGTGAGATGTGCTCGTCGTAGGGTCCCCGGCATCCTGCGGGCTTCAGCGCGAGATCCCCGGTGGTGCCGGGGGGCGACAACTCGCCCTCCCCCGGAATGAAGGGAAAGGGAGAATAATCCAAAAGCTAAAAACAAGAAGAAAAAAAATCCGTCGGCCAGAAGTGTCCGCTGTGCGTCCCGGTGGTCGTACTTCCGAGGGGAGAATGTTTCCCGCTGAGGAGGAGAAATCTGTGGTTGAGCGCTATTCTGATCCAACGGACATCTGAGCGCTGCTCTCCAAGATCTGCGCTCCTTGTTTCAGCTCTCTCTCCCTCCCTCCCTCTCTCCCTCCCTCTCTCTCTCTCTCTCTCTCACGGCAGCGACTGACCGACCGTCACAGCAGAAATGTTCAGAAATACGAGTCGAGCCGGGAAAGTAACAAGCGGAATTTCCACTCCCCGGATCCCCGCTGCGCGCAACCGGGCGACCTCCGACCAAACAGACGAGCGGACTGACAACCCGGTGCGCCCTCTGTGCGCTGCCGACGCATGCGAGAGAGGGAGGGAGGGAGAGAGAGAGAGAGGGAGGGAGGCAGGGAGAGAGAGGGAGGGAGGGAGGGGCTGCGCACGCAGACTCCCCGCTGGCTGAGGGTCTGGCAGGAGGTGTGAGCAGTGCGCGACTCCACATCTGAGCTTCGTCCCAAACGAGAGACGGATTCCTTCCACTCGTGACCGCGCGCGTTCAGGCTGGTTCAGTTTGTCTGTTTGGAAGATTCAAATGCAGAATGTACTCAACAATATTCTACAGGATTCTTCTTGTTTTTACAATGACATTTTTTTGGGGGGGGGGGCTTCGGTTTGATCAAATAATACCCACATGAGTTCATGTAAAATGTATTTTTGAAGGTTACATAAGTCAACTACTGACTGGATCGAGTATATTTATAGATATTCAAACAAGTTTTATCCCGAAATAGATGCGCGGCGTCTCGGAAACAGACAAATCGCTGCTTGTTTGTTGTCCTTTCTCCATGTCAACCTGGATGAAATGTGACAGGAGAGCTTCCTCCTTCATAATGATCTCTAGGCCCCATGAAGGTCATTCAGGCTGACATCAAGTTTGACTACATTTGTTCGCTCTTTTAAATGTTGCCTACAAAGAAGCATCCGCACGTTGTCTTGCATTTTGCATTAAAAGCCGCCGGCTCATCACGTGAGAGGAGACGAGCTGTTCCAGGACAGAAGGTGTCCTCACGTAGGTTCAGCTCAAGGACACTGAGGAGTCTCAACTGTGGGACTCACACGCTATCACGTTACACAGTTTGCCCAAAACATGTTGATCTGTAAGTTTATTCACCGTTTCCCCCAAAAAGTACCTGAAAAAACGTTGACAGGTGAGTGAGGGAGAGAATGAGCTTGTGGTGCTGAGGTGAACAGACTCTCCCAGGTGTTTCCGTTCATTAGAACCTGCTTGCTCTGCACTTCTTCAGCCTACACAAAAGATTTAGAAGTGATCAGACACTATAAGAGCTGCTAATGACCCGAACAACACGCACAAGCCGTTGTTCCTTAATGAAATCCACAGTCTCCCAATCTGGTGATTTTACATTTCGGAGATAACCTGAGCTGGTTTAGGGGTTTTTCTCTTAATGGGCTGAAAAAAAAAAGTGTTAACGACTGAAGGTCACTGCCTAAGCTTTAGCATTAAATATTAAAACCCAACCATAATCGTGTAATATTATAAGAGCAGCGACAGACCGAGTTACTCATTACGACGTCACGTTCGGCTTTAACATATTGGAAATACTCTCACGGCCCCCCGAAGGGGGCACACCGAGTGAAGCGGCCTCAAGATAACGTCTTAAACGCTGGAACGGAAGACGAGCACATCGGGGACGCAGCGAGGTCGAGGGACGCAGTGAGTCTGCATCGTCGAGAGCTCAGCGGACAGACGTCCATGTCTCCAACAAGATGCTCGCTGGGATTCCAGATTTGGTGTCGCCGCACTCGTGCGCGTCGGCTGGCGGGGGACAACAAAAGGATCCTTGGCAGCGCCACTCGCGGCGCCGCCTGACGCAAATAGCCTCAGTGGCAAAGTGTGCAAAGCGAGAACGCAACTGTGACGACTCGAAGAGACTGTGAAGATTAACTTCCTGTTTTCTTTTTGGAACCACGGCACTTCCTGTATCTAGTTTCCCCCCACAGCTGAGTTTAGTTTGCAATCACCCCCACCTGTATTTAAGCCTCAGTTCCCCACTTGTCTGTGTCAGGTTATCTTTTGTCCTTCCTAGAGGTACATGTTTGTTGTTAAATTCCCAGTGCTGTTTTTGTAATCTTGTTTCTACTTTGTTGCCAGGCTCTCTTCCTTTTTGTTTCTTCAAGAGCGTGTGGATTCCGCCTTTGCCTGTGCCCCCTTTGTTTTGCATTAGTTTACTCTCCTAGTAAAAGATTCCAAACCTTGAAAGAATTTTCTGTTGCCTTATTGCTCTGCACCTGAGTCGAAGTCCTGACCCCTCACAACAACTCGCGGAGGAGATGAAACCGACGGCAGCGACGCTGCTGATGTTTCTGCTTTTCCAGGAGCCATTAATCAGGATCCAATAAAAGGCCGATAAGAACTCAATGGATCTCGTCAATGCTCGTTGGTGTTTCACTCATCACGTCTGCGTTGAGGTGAGTTGGAGCGCGTGAGTGAGATGCAGAAAACTGCAACCATATGTTTGTTCATGAAAGGACATGTTTTTATGTTAATATGTACCTACAGAAAACATCTGTTATCCGTCATTGTGATATTAAGCACGTCGAGGGGTCCAGCAGTAAAAGTGCTGCTCAGAGAACTTCCAGAACCTCGGATGGATAAATAGAGCCTCCTCCAGGAGGAAGCATCAGAACCAGAAGGTGAGGGCCGGTGTGCGTGACGATACGAGCAGTTCAGTGAAACGCATCTCACCAGTGAGCGTAAAAACCCTCAAGTCGGAACCGGAACCTCAAGTAACTAAATATTAAAACAATGGTGTGATCATGTTTCCATGGTCGGTGACATTGGGGGTCCTGTGCCAATAGAAAGGGAATTTAAAAAGGGAAATGTCCTGCGAGCAAAACCAGGACTAGACTGGAGACTTAAATCAAAGCAATGTGACAAAGTTAATTTGCACACAAGAGGATTCTGTCCTGCAGTCGTACGTGCACGGACCTATTTCAGGCAGTTTAACAACCACACGAATAAAGGCGCTTAATACAAGATGCGCTCAAGTTTTATGGTCTCTAAGAGCATTTTTGATTGGTTATTAACCTATTGGAGGCGGCTCCTGCTTAGAACCCTCGGAGAGCATTGGAGCACAGGGACGTCCGTCCCTCCAGGCGCCCGTTGTTCGTGAGTTCTTCATATCACGATGTGTGCAAGATGAGTTGAGTTCTATGTATGGAATGTTATTGTTAATATGGGGAACAGGTGGTTCCTGTTGAACTGCATTTGACCCAGATAGTGCTGCATCTTTTTGCATGTTCGCGTGCAGGTGTTGTGACTTGAGATACATGTTGTTTGTGCAATCCGGCCTTTTTTTCTTTTAATTTTTACCGTCAAATCTTTTTAATCCGCTACTTTAATTAGCAACGTGAATCTGAGATTTTCTAAACTATGAATCCCAGCGATTGTCACACGGTCGTGTGCGCTTGTGGAATGCTAACGAACTGCTAATGAGTTCGCGCCGCAGACAAAGAGAAACTCAGACGTGATTTTGCTGCATTTTGTCTTTGCAGTTTGCAGCGAGTGAAACAGATGATAAAGAGAAAAGGCCGTTCGTCCCTCTGACCTCATCGCTGCCTTTACGTTCAGCGTCCACGCGCACGCTCGAGCAGAAGCACCCACACACGTGCACGCACATGGCCGTGGAATGACGGGGGGGGGCGGGGCTTCTGTAATGACACGGTCACATCTCGGTAATTACAGGAGAAACTGACAGTGATCCATCAGCCCGCTGAGGTGCACGCCACGAGCGGCGCGTTCACGCACCCGGTTATTATGCATGAACATGTATGGAAGCCGCGCTCGTGGTTTGTAACGTAGAAGATACTGCCACCGAGGAACCTCCCTCGGGAGTTTGTTCACGGAAATATTGTGGTATTTTAACCATAAATGCAAATATATTCCGTCAGGTGAGGATGTTTTCTTGTTAAAGCCTCAGCGGCCCACGATTGATCGTAACTGTGAAGTAATTAGCTGCATTTCATGTACATCTAACGCTTATTTGCATAATGCCCTCTGGTAGGATACATGTGTACGCACATGTTATTGCATTCTTGCTACACGAGATCCATTCTGATACATAAAAAGTAAAAACATACCTGTACGATTCAATAGGAATAAAATACCAACAATGGAGACAAAGACAAACATACAAGGACACGTGTTGCACATGCATATAAGGTCACACAAAAGATAGCTCGAAAACACCCCGTGATTCCACACACACACACACACACACTCACTCAATACACGCATTTGGAAGAGATATTTCAACACAACACGAGGTCACGGCATCGCCGATAAGATCTCTCCTCCTGGCACGGCCCCAGACGGCCTCCTGTTCGCGCTCCGGGACCTCGACCGAGCTTTTGTGCCGTGTGAGTCTCTGTGGCACCCTCTCTCATACACACACACACAGACACACACACACACACACAGCGTGCAGCGGCCCAGCCAGTTACTCCTCCCAGAGGAGCGGCTGATGAGGCTCTGGATTGAGGAGTGAAACGGACGCCGTGTTGGAGGGTTACGATGATTACCGTCATTACCAGGAGAACCACGCCGCCGGCGTCCAGCTGCACCGGGAACACGAAAGCGCGGGTGAACCAGCGACGTATTGGGACGGGAAACAAGGTCGATGGCGTGGACGAGCCTCAATGTTTCTCTCATTAAATGGAAAGCTGTTCAAGTCACGTGGTTCAAGAGAAGTAACGCTTCCAGGTATTATGTCACCGTCCACCTGGAATAACTGTCCCACCGAAAAAATAAAATATAACATAACAGAAGTGCTCGTAGTGTATTTAACAGTTTAAGATGTAACTTACATAGGACTTAATATGTTTTATTTATAAAATTGTATAAAAGCTTTTCAGTGGGACGTAAAGTTGTCGCTTCGAGGTTTGATCTTCTTACAGCATCCAGATCAGGTTTACCAGTGAACATCACACCACTCACATTTATAGGGGCAGCTGTTTGAAATCTCTCTCTCTCTCTCTCTCTGTGTGTCTCTCACTGTCTCTCTCTCATTTGCTGGAAGCTCTCGCTTGGCAGCGAGCGGCTACGTGATGGGAGGCTTAAGTGCGTGTCCCAAAATCTGACACCAGCCAGGATGATACTTTGTCATGTGACAGAAGAGCTGCTGCTCGTCACGAGGGAAACGCCGTCCGACCCCGTCTCTGCTGGTGGGGGGGGGCGACTACCCTAAGATCTGCCATTCAATGACCTGCTTTAACAAACTATTAACAGACTGTTTACAGGAGTTACACCGAACGAAAATAACCGGCGGTC